AAAGGGAAGGGAAAGGAGAAATTTTGTATGTATATCTATACAGGATAGTTAACATAGTTGTTCTACTGTCTTCTATTTCTTTGCTGAAAGAAACGGTCAGTGAGTCCTTGATTGATCAATATTGCATGTCTCTATCTGTTTTCATGAGAAACCACTTTGAAGATATCAATACATAATACAAGAAGCATTGTTAATTTCTTACCACTCTGTTTGTAGCTGTGTATTGTCTGTACTGTTCTTTTGCTGTTCTGTAAAAGGTTGTCTGTCTGTTAATGCTTTCCTCCTTTTATTTTTAAAATTAAAAAAAAAAAATCCACTGGCTTACTTGCACTTTGAATCTATCCTTTCCCAAGCATGACTCTGTAATAATATGCAAAGATTATTTGGAAAACACTGTTTTACTGAGTTATACAGTTTTTCTAAATGTTGACATATTTCATCATACAAAATAACCACACTGGTTAATATCACTGTCAATCTTATCTGAAAAGCCTTTGAAGTATTGGGAAATAGCCAAGCTCACTTCGGCAGATCAAAGCGTTACAAAATTCAATTTTTCATTTGAAAGCTAAAAATTTTTATTCTTGGTAAGTACTGTCAGTTGTTCTTCATGTAATGAATGGCTCGCTCTCTTTACTTCCATGTCTGCCAAATACCCTAGTCTGCAAACCAAAATTTGTCATTTTTTTCAAGTAAAAATGGTACTCCACGGAAACAGCAACTAGTTCAACTTATGACTCAAAATCTGTTGAAAGCATTTTCCCATTTCCCATCAATACCTATGATGTTTGGACCACAGGGTAGAAATATTGTATTTTTGTTTCCCATTTCATGACAGGAAGTAAACAAAAGAGAGAAATTCATGGGTCACTGTCTTGGTTACTTTTTTCTCGTTGCTGGGACAAAATATCTGACGACCAAAATTAAGGAAGGAAAGGTTTATTTCGCTTACAGTTTGTGGAGGTTTCAATCCGTACTAGGCATGATTATAAGGCAGAGTGGCACATGGCAGAGGGCTGCATCTCAGGACGGCAGCCACAGCTAAGCTGCAAGCACACACACCA